AAACAACATTTTTTTAATTTTCGAAATTTTTTAAAATTAAATAATTTTTTTTTAAAATTTAAAAAAAAATTTGAAAAAATATTTTTTAATATTAAAATAATATAAAAACAGACCGGGTCGGATCTCCACATCCGACCCGGGTAAAATATATTTTTTTTGCAATTTTTTCTTTTTAAAGTTTTTTTTTAAAATATTAAAATAATAAAAATAATATTAAAATATTATAAAATCGGATCCGGGTCGGATCTCCACATCCGACCCGGATCGGGACTGACCCGGGCGCGCCGGCCCGGGTCCGCCGCGAGGTGGGCGCGGCGAAGGCCCACTTCGGAATAAAAAAAACTACAATCCAAAAACAATTAATTAAAAACACCTAGGCCCAACCCACTATAAATAAAAACCTAAATAACACTTCAGCCCAAATTGACCAAATTCGGCCCATCCGCGAAAGGGCCCAAAACCTAAAAGACATTCTAAAATCTAATAACCCTAAATTCAGCCCAAGGCCAAATAAAACCTAATAACTTAAGACCGGCCCGCACACTAAACAAAAACCCTACCCGGTTGCAACCCGTGGACCCGACCCAACTCGTGGCCGCCGACCCGAATCGGCCAAAAACCCTAGCATCCGCGACCCGGTTCGCGGCCGCCCCGCCGCGCCTAGGGACTCGCCTTTCGCGGCCGGCGCCCGACGCCGCATCTGTTGCCACCGTCCGACGCCGGCTGTGTACCGCCGACCTGACTCGCGTTTGTCGGCCCACCGGAGTGCCGGCTCCCCTCGAGCCCTCGTCCTCCACGTGCGCTCGAGGCGAGCGAGGAGCAGCGGGCGCCCTTCGCCCGCGGCCAGCCCTAGCGCCGGTCTCTGCCTTGGTCCGCATCGCCGCCCCGACGAGGGGCGGCGAGCGTCCTTCGCCCGAGTCACCGCCGTGGTGACCGGCGACCGACTGAGGCTGTCCAGGCCCCGACGAAGGGCTGGACAGCCACGAACCAGTCAGATCCCGGCGAGGGGTCCCTCGCCGTTCGCTTCCTTTTGCGGCCGCGCCCAGACCGCCGCGCGAACCTCGGGATTCCCTTGCCCGTGTCGCCGCCGTGGCGACCGGCAGTATGCCGATACTGTTCGGCGTTTCCGGAACACAACGAAACAAAATCAGGCTCAGGAAAGCATCACGCACAGGGTGAAAAACAACAGGAGAACCCACTCAAGCATAACATCAAACAGTTGGGATGCGCCGCAAAAACAGGAGATTCTCAGTTCGATCGGGGCTTGAAACGGACCGGAATCACATCATACGACACACGAAAGGGCAGCAGCAAGCGTGAGGCTTCACAGGTCGGAACTCGCGCGGACCGGACGGCCAAGCGAGCTCCGGCCGGTGAGCCCCAAAAACAGGGGAACAACGAAAAAAAAATAAACAGAGGGAGGGGGTGGCCGTTGCGGCGCTCCCTACCCAGCTCGGCGGCGGCGAACGTGGGCAGGCTTGGTAGATCGGAGTATGTCCGGCTGCCTCGCACACTCCCGAGCCGAGATCCTCGGGAAATCGACCCCGGATCAAACGAAACGAACCCGACGAGAATTCGGGGTCAAGACCTACCGTGAGAAACAGGATGTGTCGGAGCGTCGCCGGTTCCGGCTGAAGTGTGGCGGTGACCGGTGGCAGTCCCCTCAACCTCGGATCTCACTCTCGAACCCCCTCGGTATCTCTCGCTCTTTCCCTCCCTCTCCCGGAACTCTCTCTCGGTAACTCTCTGGAACTCTCCCTGTGTGCCTCTGCCCCTCTGTCTCCGTTTTTGGCCTCTGCTCCTTCCCCCCTCCCTCAGTGAAGGAGGCAGAGCCCCCTTTTGGTGAATGGGTTGAACGGTCAAAGAGGAAAGCCCTTCACGTGCTTTCTTTTTTAATTTTTTTTTTAATTTTTTAATTTTTTAATAATAAATTTAAATAAATAAAATAAAAAAAAGATGTAAAATAAAGCGAAAATATGTTTCACTAAATCTATTAATGTAAATGCGCCTAATGTCTACATGCCACACAATTTAATGAAAATATTTTTGTTTAGGGGTTAAAAATCAATCCCTAATTTTTCATGCAATTAAATCCTAAATGAATAGACAAAATTTAGGTGTCAACAGTGTGGATTTGGACTAGTAGACCTCCCTCGTAGTGTATTTTAGTTATTATCTTTTGGCCTTTTTCCTAATTTATAATTAGGGTTTTTCATGGGCCGTTGGATCGTTTTCGGATTTGAACGAGGATCGTCGGATCGCGCTCAAGTGCATTTGACTTTTTGTTTCTTCTCTCTCTCTCCTCCCCACGTCGCCGTTGCCCCACGCCGTTGACTTCCTCCTCTTTCCCCGCTGCCCTCCCCACGTTGTTTCGCCTTTGCTGCTGCTGTGACTTCTTCCACCAACTCCACCGGCCATCATCACTCTCCCATGCTTCAGGTGACTCCCACGTTGTTTGCTCACCCTCACGTTGCTTGCTTTGCCTCCGCTTTCTTCGCCGCCATGCCTCCGTTCTGCGACTTACGCTCTTGTTGATCATGTTGGTTGACCGCTTCGCTCCTACGTTGCTTCTTCCGCCGCAGCCTTCCGCTCACGCCGCCTGCTCCCCATGCTTGCTTCTGCTGATTACTCGCTTGCTAACCGGCGACGCCCTTCTTCCGCCGACTTGTTGACCTCTCCTCCTTGCTTGACTTCCTCTGTCGACCTACCGCTGCCCACGCCTTTGCTGCTGCGCCCATGATGAACTTCACATGCCGCTTACATTACGCCCTTTTAACGCCGCTTCTTCACTTCTACTTGCTCTTTGTTTTCTTCTTCATTTTGCTTCGTTGCTTCTTGCTTTTCTTCTTCTTGCTGCTCACCACGGCACCGACCAGCTCCTTGCTCGGCCACCCCGCGCCCAGTGAGCCTGCCACCGCCGCCACTCATCTCGGCCACACACCACCACCGAGCTCACTCTCTTCCTTCCCTTCCATTCGTCCATCCCGTCACCACCACCACTCGGCATCACCAGCACCTTCGTCCATCTCCACCAGCCAACCACCTCGGCCCGTGCCGCTCGCCGCCGTCCGTGTCGCCGGAAATCGCCGAGCTACCCGTCCAACCGCCGGAGCAACTGCTGCTTGCTTGGCTTGGCTTTGTTAGGCTCCCTAGCTTGAAAATCTTGCTTAGGCCTTGAGTAAGTGGCTTCCTAACCCTTGACTAGGCTAAGGGGTGACTAATGGACATGTTAGAGATGGTTTAAGGACTGTGGATAGTTGGATTAGTGGCTGGTTGTGCTTGGTTTGCTTGGTGGTGCTTGTTGGTTAATTTTCGGTAAGGTTGCTGCTGTGTCGCTGGATTTTGCTATTTTTACTGTGAATTGTGTGGGCCGAATTTGAGGAAGTGTTCTTCATAAAAGTTGTTCATAACATCTTGAAGTTTGACATATATTAAATCTGGAATTTTTGGAGATCATTTAGTGCCATTCGTAAGTCCATCTTTTGACCGAAATAAGTCTGCCGGAAATACTGTTCCTCCGACCTTCGGGTCTGTTCGAATTTTTATAAATTTTTCTAGACCTATTTTCAAAATACTTTCTTCACAAAACTTGTTGGAGACATTTTTGGCTATGACATATAAAAATTTCGAATCGTTCTAAGGAGATTTGGTTACTACTTGAAATGCATTTTGGAAGCCGGATGGCCAGTCCGAATGAAATGTTTTATGTCCGACTTTGGATGACAAAAAGAGGTGGTTCTAGACAGAAATGGATCTTGTGTTCTCCATGAAAAATGTTAATCAAGATGTTTTGTATAACATATGCAAATTTCAGAATTTTTGGAGTTGAATTAATATTTATTTCAAAGAAATTTCGGTTGTTGCTCAAACTGCCCAGAATAGCCCGAATGTGTGCAATTCCGGTTTTCTCTCTCTCGGGGACTATTCGATGTTATCGTGGCGTTTGACGGATTTAGTTGACACTGGGCTAATTTACAAGATAAGAATTGATAATGATTGCTGAGGTGTGTGCATGGTCACGACACGTTCCGTCTAGGCGGGAGTTCTAGACGATGCCGTTAGGTACCCGGCTTGCGGGGTGTTCGATCCCCAACGTTGCCGTCGAGTACCCGGCTTGCCAGGGGTGTTCGATCCCGGGACGATGCCGATCGCGGTGGAGGCCGGATCGATGCTCCTAAGTGGAATGCCGTTGGAGTACCCGGCTTGCCGAAGGGTGTTCGATCCCCAACGTTGCCGTCGCCGACGTAGCGGGACGATGCCTGGTTACGCCAGAAGACCGGCGGGAGTTCGGTGGCCCGAGGGGTCGTTAATAATCTAGACATTTATAAACGTGTGCTATGCATTAGAGAATGCCATGATTGAATTTAATGTTGAGCACGTGCGGGTTATTAACCGTGTTATGCATGATTATACCTTGAATTGCGTTGTACAAGCTTGATGAGCAATTGGCCATATTATGGCGATATTCTAACGTGCGGGGGCACTGTATGTCTTGCCGAGGCGAGGTAAGGGCGCCTGTGATTGTTATGACATGTTGGATGTCGGTATTGCATGTTTAGAATTGTTCGGAGAGTGCGCTTTGGCCTAAGCGAGGCTTAGGTAGTTGCTTATTGAGAAGTGTTCTCATGGTTGTATAACCAAACCATTTCAGACCCGCGACCGTGATTGATCCGGAGACGCTGCCAGAATACTACGGGGATTGAGGATAGGCCGAGTTAGCTCATCTTTTGAGTGCCCCTTTTTGTAGAGGAGTTAAGCTTACCAACCACCCGATCCTTGTTGTTGTGCGTGGTTCGTAGATAGTGGCCTCGTAGAAAGCTTGCAAATGTATGTGTTGTAATCGATGTTATGTTTATAAAAGTGTCTTGTTAATGTGTATTCTTTGTCTCTCTACTATCCCGTTGTTTATATGTTGTTTGGAGAGTTCGAGGTTGCTTCCGCATGCGTTGCTCGTTAGTGTTTTGATTGGGTCGTCGATAAGTCCTGGGATGTCGCGTACATTACGACCACAAAGGGATGATTGCGCGCTTGTTCGAGTTCGGGGCGTGACAACAAGCATCCCACATGGAGGACACAGAATCTGAGATATATCCAATGAAGAAACAAGCAATATCCAAAAAAATCTGCTTTTCCTCATAGTTTAATGCGTCATAACTTATCCTCAGCTTCTCTTGCACTTTCGTATGTGGTACTTCCTTCAACTTCATTAACGCATCTTGCCAAAATGCTGGGTTTCGCCCACATAGAAACGAACCTATAACCTCGAGAGCTAAGGGAAGCCCTCCGGTAGTGGATACAACGGCATGAGAGAGAGACTCAAATTCACACGGAGGAGAGTCCCTCATAAAGGCATGTCTACTAAACAAGATTAGGGACTTATCCTCAGCAATTTCCTTGAGTTCGTACTTGCATTTCACCCCAGCTTCATCAAGGACGGACCTTATTCTTGTTGTAATGATTATCCTACTTCCCATCTCAAACCAGTCATGTTTCCCAACCAAAGCTTTGAGCTGATCATTAAGATCCACGTCATCTAGAAGAATTAAGACTTTCTTACGTTTAAATCTGGATTCCATAATCTTAATTCCTTCATCCGTATTAGACACTAGGTCGTTCATTTTCAGTATATCATAAATTAATTGATTCTGCAAACATGAAATGCCCTTGCGCCGCGAGGATTCTTGAATATCTGCAACGAAACTACGATGCTGAAACTTGTCGAAGAGCTTACTGTAGACGACCTTGGCTAAAGTTGTCTTGCCGATGCCCCCATTCCATGAATACCGACAATTTGGGTAGCACTAGGGTTATCATCCAGCAATCTCAAAATATCCTGCACAGCATTATCGATTCCGACAAGTTGTTCGGTAACAACCAGCTGAAAGGCCTTCTTTAACTCGCCCAATACTTTTCTGACGACCATTTTCACCAATTCTCCTTCGTAACTGTTTATAAAGCATTCGAGCCAAAATGCATTAGAAGAACAATCGCATCTTGTTATATCTCATTATCACAACACTCCAGCATATAAGAGCGAAAAAGGCAAGCGCAAATTGAAGAACACGCGAATTCATGGCCTCCTCTACAAGCAAGACCCTGTTGAAAGAAAGTAAACAAGGTTTTGATAGAAAATGAAATACCCGTCAGTAGTTTTCTCCGACTCCCATCCCTTTAGGGAAGCCACTTCTTTGAGTGCTTGTTTCCATTTCGCAACATCTTCTTCCAAATACTTCTCACTTAAATGAGAGAACGTCTCTCCAAAGCTCCCTATTTGGTGTCGCACATGGGCCGGTTCAACCCGGTAAAATACGGGCAACACAACGTGCCCGACGCTCTTCATGCAGTCTGCCATGTGGGCGAGCTCTCGAAGGCACCATTTGCTCGAAGCGTAGTTCCGAGAGAGAATCGGGATCGAGATCTTACTGTTCTTAATGGCCTGGAGAAGATTGGTGCCGATCTCCTCACCTTCGCGAAGCTCATCGTTGTCTCTGAACACGCGGATTCCAGCATCGACGAGACCGTTGTAGAGGTGATCTGCTAAGGTTCTGCGAGTATCCTCGCCGCTGAAACTCAGAAACACATCGTAGTTGTCACTGCCCGCTGAAGTGGCGGAGGAACTAGACGCACCGGTATCATGAGCTTTTCGACGATTGCTGTCCTCGTTGCTTCGGACAAAATTGTGTTCGAACGCTAGATGGCGTTTCATTTTTTGCTCCTTCGATGATTCTTGATCTGCTCTCTCAGTGAATATCAAAGAACAAAATTGCCTCTATGATGACCGTGGAGAGCTTGAGTTTTTGGTACCTTGTGCTTCAAGACGCACGCGGATCGGGAGTGAAGATGCTAAAAGACAAATTAATAGAAAATGACTGGAATTTCAGTCGTCGCGTGAAGTGGGCGTCCTTGCGAACCGCCCTTCGCGCCATCATCGCCTTTGCCTTCCGCTTCGCCAGCGACGGAGGAGAAGGAAGAGGAGGTGGGAGGAGGCTGCGGGTCGCGCTAAGGAGGAGGAAGCTGGAGAGAGCAGGAGGCGTGGAAAGAGAGAGGAAGAGGCTATTAGGGTTTTGACAAATGACAGTGGGCTGGGCTTCCAACAATGGGCTGTTTTTTTTTATCTTGTACTTTTCTTTTTTTTCTAATTTGATTGTCTAATTTTAGTTTCTTAACTAATATATTTATTTATATATAATTATTTTTTGAAAATTTATGTTTACTAAGCTTGCGTGTGTATAATGTTTTTAGGGTAAATTCATTCTAGGCTCTTTTTTTTTATCATTTATTTACTTATTTGAATCAAATTTAAAACTAATAATTTATTTTGTATATATAAAATATATATTTAATATACAACGTGTTCCAACATGTCAGAATTCTTTATTTTTTTAGGAATGACGTGTCGTGTGTCGTGTCGTGTCGCGTATCGCGTGTCGATGCAACATAATCTATTCGGCTTGCCCAACAAAATGACCGTGGAGAGCTGAGTTTTTGGTACTCTAAGTCTATGCTTCAAGAAGCACATGGATCGAGAGCGAAAAAGCTAAGACAAATTAATAGAAAATGATTGGATTTTCAGTCGTCGCGTGAAGTGGGCACCTCGCGAACCGCCCATGACCTTTCTTTTGGGTAAATTATATTTAGCTGTTGATGGCGCCCACCGTTTTGCACCGATCAGTATTATTTTTCACTTATAACTGTCGGTTCCAAACCCTAAATATCCGGTACTGGTGCGTCTCCTTCGCTGTACTTGTTATACATGGTGGAGCTTACATTTCTAGACTACACGATCATGCCATAAATGAATGATTCGTGTTAAGTGATGATACTCGATATTAGTGATGGCATAAATATTGGAGCCCTAATACTTATGGCCATTGTTCAATTTGTCTGCGCTTTTTCATGATATATAATGCACGGTGTTCACTTTGTCGCATCTATGCGAAGTGAGGACTTTCTGCGACCATGTAGAGCCGAGTTTTTTTCGCAATTTATACTGCAAAGCTGGGGAAAGTACACTGATTTTTCTGAATGAGTTTGGGCGCAATTTGAAAAAGTTAAAGCAAGTTGAAATATAACTTTCCATTAAAAAGGAAAAAGTAGATCTGCTCCGCTCGTTCTTTGGGGGGCCAGCAAAAGCGGGCCGCTCTGATTGACTCTTAGGTTGCGTTTGGTTGTTCGGATTTTTAAACAGGATAGGACTGGATAGGATAGGATAAAAAATCTTGGGATTTCTTCATATCCTATCCACTGTTTGGTGGACTACGGATTTAAAGTCGGATATGATAATTTTTTTTTTGCTATTCACAGGTCCGGAGGAATCGGTAAAGGAAAAAAAGCCGAGAAATTTTTTTGGTGAAAGCGCACAAGGTGTGGGGATGAAGATGACGGCAAGTGGAGCGTAGGGTTTCTGGAAAAATAGGCATTAAAAATCCTATCCAGGTCTATCCCACCCCCCCTCGGATTTTTTTATCTGGGTTATATCCGGTTTATATCCTACCTTATCTTATCCTGGACCATCACTAAACACAGGATAGGATAAAACATATCTTATCCTGACTTTTATCCTGTCGATCAAACGTAGCCTTAGTGTCTGTAGATCCCCAAAGAATGAGCGGCATCTTGCTTTTTCCCCGGTGGACGATGACTTTTGGAATTAGTGCTACGAACGCAAACACTTTTAATTTTGTATTTTTGGGGCTAAGTCAGAAGACTAAGATCGGCAGGGTAAGCAATGCGCGAATCCAAGGGAAGATCTGAGAGCGGGCCGAGGTGGAGATCCTCTGTGCCTAAAGATATTCTCTTCCCTTTGCTTTTCGTGTCCGAAACAGAAGCAATTATTACCGTGCTATGCACGAGAATAGACTTGTGAAAGCGAGGAAAGAGAAAGAAAGAAAAGAGCGTAATACATCACATTATTCTAGTCTACAGGCCCGTGCTATGCACGAGAATAGACTTGTGAAATTGATTACAAGAAATAATTGTTCTAGAAGTGTACTAAATCGTGAGGGTAGGAGATTTTCGTTATGTTTAAAGTGATTATACGCCCCTTCAACTATAAGGAAAAAATTTTAGTTCGATTAAAGTGGAAAATTCAAAGCCAATTTTTTTCAATAGAATGTTAGGATAGATGTCACTCATAAATGAGGTTAGAGTCTCTAGTTATGTATTCATTCATTTGAATTTGTCCATTTAGCCATGTCATGTCCAGATTGACGATTCTCTCAAGATGTGTCAAGTGTTCTTTTTCCTTGTATTTTAGTTGAAAAGAAGAAAGGTACTCTACCTCATGAGAGATCCATTTTTTAGCAAATACACAAGGTACTTATAGCTACCAGAAATTATATTCCGTTGTGAAATTTGCATTTCTGGGATGAATCTCCTGAAGGAAAACCACGTACCTTTCTCTGATATTTCGGGGAAAGGCTCGACAAAGCAGAGAAACTGTTGGAACCTGTTCCCCTTTTTGGGGATCTTACAGGTGTTCTTATGTTCCCATTTTGCTTCTATTTTTTACGTTGGCTAAGATAAGGCTACTTATCATGAGCAATTGTGCTCATTCTTTGATGTTTACTCATGCAGCTAAAGTCATAGAGCTGATTGTCGAAGCCCAAACACGGTATCCGCGCATGTCGGGCTCATAAGAGTCAAGCCTTAGAAAGCTGTGCTACACTTTTGAGTAGCCACACCCACCAGGAATAGAATAAAGGACTGTATCCACTATCCTCATGAGTTGCTAGAAGTTGAGGGACGAGATGTCTCGGTGACAAAAATCGACATGTTGATGTTTCTGAAAAATAGCACAATAACTGGTGAAGTTCTGCTGCAGACCCACAAATGTACACTGGTTTCTTGGTTTTGTTGGAAATAGATATTGCTTCTAGCTTGGATTGCATCTGGAAGGAAGTTCTCATTGCGCAGACTTCACTTCAGAGTCGGGGTTCAATCATGTTCACTTTTCTTGAGGGCTGAGGAAGAAAATCTCGTCCCCTTTACTTTATGCTGTCTAGTAATTCTTCTTCCCTTCTGTTTCTTTCCTTGTTTCTTTGTTTAGATCCCTGCATACAGAAGAATATTGCAGTCAGTTTGATAATGGTCGAGTGACATTGTTTCTTCGGTTCAAATGAAGGAATCCTTTAGATGTGAGAAAGTGGATTTTTGTTTTATTATTGATCAGAGATCTCTTCATGAAAAAATATGAACTTGAGTTTGAAAAAGGGGAAGGAGAAAGAGTCCTTGACCCGCAGCAAATAGAGAAGTTATCATCACATGCTTTGAGCTGCAACAAGGAGGTTTTGAATTTTGAGAGCAGTCAACGGTTATGCATCTGCAATAAGGGGATTTTGGCCATTGACAATGGTGGGTCTCGTACTTTTATTTTGGTGGAGCAATCCTGCGTCTCTTTCCTTTACCTTTTCTTGCATGTAAATCGAATGCTAAGAATTTTCCATCTCAGTGAGTCAACACAACACTTCACATGCATGTTAAAGACTTGATGTCACCTAGGGGTGAGTAATTCCAGATTCCGTACAGATTTCACCTGAAATCTATCTATGGGAATAGGTTCCTCATTTTTTGAAACTTGGAACCTACCTTATATACCTTGAAACTTGAAGTCTACCTTGTCACAGGTTCTAGGATCTACCCAGTTACACATGTATTATTAATTGAACAATTGTAGTGAATCATCACTTTTAATGACCACAACTTGCTGCTATGATCTACTAACCATAACTTATATTAGATACACGAAAAATATGAAATATTAACAAGTCATAAAATGAAAACCCAGACTAGTAGTTCTAGATTATACAATCATCATCTAAAGCCATAGTACACCTCAGGATCACGCAAAGACATAGACCAAGAAAAAACACAAAAAACTTGTTGAGGGTTTCAGGTTCCAGGTTCTACCTACTTAGAACCTAGAACCTACATGTCGCAGCAGATTCCCCAATTTTTGGAACCTGAAACTTACCCTGTATATCTTGAAACTTGGAACCTATAAGTTCACATCGGTCAGGTTCTCAAGTTCTAGGTTCTACCATGAAACCATGCTTACCCCTAATGCACTACCATTATGGTGATAGGGTTTTATGGTCTCTCAAGAGATCGATTTTCCGTCTTAAAATTGTAGTATCTCAATGCATTTTTTTTGTACTTTCTATATAAAATATCGTACCTCTCAAATATTTTTAAGGTTTAAAATGAGCAATTGGGATTTGTTCTTTTGCAATCCGATGGTTAGAGATCCTCTAGGATTTGTACCTGTGCCCAAGGGTGACAATTCACTTTCTAATCTTTTTACACATACTAGATACATAGACTAAACTGAATCTAAACTACTGACAATGATAAGATTTATGTAAGTTTCGTGTAGTTCCCACAAGATCTAACGGTTTGGACTCGGAATTAGCGATAAGAAAAACGAGTAGGGAATGAATGAAGTGTCACTTGGCCATTGGTCAAAGTAATAGGTAATGGGGAAAAATTACGATAATAACACGAATAGACTATGAATTTTGGCTCAATGTGCAAAGTCATCCATGACTTTTAATTTGTTTAATGTTAGTCCAGTTATTGCTGACCGTCCTACGTGGCATACCGCTAAGTCAATGATTTCCGGCAAAAATTGATCGAAAGGACTACATTGGAATTTCGCCAAAAGGTTCCGGACTAAATTGACAAAAATGAAAAGTTTAAGAATAAATTGGAATCCGCCCAATATGTTTATAAATGATTGGACAATTTCCCCTTGGGGGAGAGACATTGC